CTTTTTCACGTGCACTTGTTTTGAAATTGTCTGCAACGCGACTAAAGAGTGTTACAGTGTAAAGGGCATATTCATTATCCTCGAATAACTTCTTGGAAGACCTGGGAACCTAAAAAAGCTTAGCATAATTATGAGAACATAAAAAGAACAGAACAAAAGACAAGAAGCAAGCACCATAATTCCTGACAATTCAACACTGTGAGGCTAAAATAGTTCACTGCACCTACTCTAACATAATCTAAGTGAGCTGTAAAGAAGTTAGTGTGTAAATCAACACCCTATTGAAGTGCTGTACAAGAGCGAGTTAAAAGTTAAAAGCACAAACTTACCACATAGCTAGTCAGTATTTCATAGGTAGATAGCCATTCTTTCTGTGAGTACTTGGGAACAATTACAAGAAGAGTTGCTAGATGTTCTGAGGTAATTATGTCTTCTGGTTTTACAAGATTGGAAATATCACGGACTGCCAAGCTGATGAAACCAAGATCAATTAGAAATATCAAATATGCTAAACAAAAATATATCGATTGTGAGCATTCATACCTTCCACTTTGCTTTCTGTTAATGGCATTAAGTTGACTCCGCACATTATTGTACTCAGAAACCCGAATCTAGAAATAGAAATAGGCTTTCAATGGAAATTTCTATTTGAACCCCCATAGCATCCAAAAACTATATACCAAGTAAATAACTAAAGGATTCAGTTATTATTTGTTAGTTTATCATCCAGTGGCACTAAAGAAAGCTTTTTACATAAAGAAAGTTCCAGGAAAACACAAAATAATAAGCATACATTGAGTCACTATTGAGATGAAATATCTTCATTGATAATAAAACTAGCACAATATTTCAGTTTAGAAAATCAATGAATTAGGTTATGGTGTGATGGTAATAAACTATAAGGAACGAATACTCTAGTGATGTGTATGATGCTTGCCAAACATATTCGATAAATGTTGAATGTTTGTTGAATTCTATGTGATATCTGATACGTCACATGAGTCAAATAGTTATTAGATACTTGAGTTGAAGTGTTTAACCTTTAATTTATTTTATCCATTAGAATCTGCTGCAATCTCATCCCATACTAATGGTTATTGCCTTGCTAATTAGGTCAGGCCAAGAGACGAATATAATTATAATCAGATTGTGATAGTTCCAAAAAATTTAAGTACTTCCTACCACTGTGCAAGACTTAGGATTTCATATCTTGTTCGTCAACTCTCACCTTCATCAAAGCCTATTTTTGATCAACAACACAACCTTAAGGTGGAAGTAAACTTCTTTCAACACCTAGCCATTTGAAGCTTGACTATTCTTTATCTTAAGAAAGAATAACAAGTGGTGGCAATAACACAGTCAGAGTATGGAAGTAACAACTATATACAAAAAAAGGTCACAATTAGCATCAACCATGAAGAGAAAGGACAAATAAAATACTTATCCAGTAAGAATGGTACTACTAAAATATTAAGAACGGTAATAACTCATTAAGAGGGAGCGATATCCTAAATGGAGGAAAATCAACTTTTCCATTGTGTTGCAATAAGATTTTGGAAATCTTATAGATAAAAATTTCCAGAGTGTCAATAAGAGTTTCAACAATATTTATGCATAAACAAATCCCAACATAGGCATCAGCTCAAGCAAAGAAAAGTTACCTTGAGGTCATCCTCAATCTTGGCCACTTGACTGTGAATGCTATCCACAATGTCTCTCAGAGGCGACATTGTTGGGTACTTGGCTTCATCCCATACAAACCTTCAATTACCAAACCAAATTCAGCAATCAATCGCAAAACCAGAAACTGATTTTTCCAATTAAAATCAATTTAAAAACGTCCATGTTACCTAGTGAGATACGAATCAACGGGAACTCCATCAACTGTCAGAACATTGCTCTCCACACCTGAAACCTTCTCCAGTTCCTCGATCTGCCGTCTGATCTTGTGGGAAACTCCTTCCACAAAGCTGTTCGACTGCACAATTAAACGAATTTTGATATCTCCAACATAACACAATTTTTTTTTTTTTGGCCGTATAAACAATGGCAGGATAATCAAAGGACGAGCCAGTCCAAACCATTCTAATTAAAAAATCCACATTCAAAACAAAAGAAAAAATCCAATAACATTGGAAATTTCAGACTTGTAACTAAATTCAAATACGCACAGACAACTTTTCAATCAAATACCGGAAAGAAGTACCTTGAGGAGATCATCGCTGAGGGAAAGGAGCGAATCTAGCGTTCCAACGCGGAGATTAGGAATATTGAACTAAGCAAAAAAGAATCATAAACATAAAAAAAGTAAATCACAGGAATCAGGGAGTAGAAGAGGAGGAGATTTGAAGATTTAGCGGTGAAATCAGTACTCTGTAGAGAGGAGTATCGAAAGAGTTCTTGGAGATTTGTTCTTGGAGACGATTCCATAAGGAAGAAGCGGTGCCTTGAACCGGTAATGAGACCATCCAGTACCTGCTCGCCATTACAGCTTCGTTCCCAAGCTGTGGAAGTATCAACTGAAAACGAGAGAGAGGAAGAAGAAGAAGAAGAAGAAGCTGTTGCGCCCGAGATCAAGAGTTTCTCTCTCTTTCTCTCTCTCTCTTCTTATTTTATTGAGGAATAATATTACAACATCTCAAGATCTAAAATATTCAACGGCTCAGATTCATTTATACGATCGACGTGTAGGACACCAAATTCGTGACTGGAATATTCACTTTACAACAAAATTTTCGGTATGTTTTTCCTTTGCCAAAGAAAATATATGTATGTGTGTTTTTCAAAGTTTATTATTTTATTATTATTATTATTATTTTTTTGCATGAACTTTAGGTTGTGTATCTGGTAAATAAAAACTTGTCAAATGGTTAATATTATATCTAATATGATAGGTGGAATTATAGTCTGTCACGTGGTTCTCTCACTTCACCCAAAGCAATTTCATTGAACTAGTGAAAATCCACGTCGACACCGACCTAAAATATGGATGCTACCAGCATAAAATTCGTGGACCACCAGGTATGAATGGCAACGGCTTTCCAAAGTTCCTTTAGGAATTGAGACGATATTTTGTAATATAGATTTCACAAGCTTAGATTAAACAACTCGGGCTTTGTGATAACTCTCCTAAATAAAGTTAATTGTGCCTTTGAGTTGCATGAAATAGCTAAAATTAGTCAATTCTAATCTCATTTATTCAGTGGGTGTGCTTGAATTACAAGATAAATCAATATATCACATGACTAAGAGGCTATGTTAGCACTAAATTAAATGATCTGATTATGAGTATTTTTGCTGCAGCTTCGATCAGCATCGGTTCCAGATAAAGACAAAAGACAAAAAACAGCAAGCTAACAGTGAACGGGCTTCTCAGTGGAATTTATCACAATAATTGGAGATTTTATCCAAAAGTGAGAGCTGGGTCCCTCCAGGCTCGTGTTGTTGCCCTAATACCTGAAGGGGGTATAAATGCAAACAAGAGGAGAAGCCTCCAAGACACACAAACACCAAGAAACATTCTCATTGTTCATTCTTGAAGGAATCCACTTTCACTCCAAGAAAACCACTCCAAACCATTACAGAAAGTCGAGAGAAGAAGAAGACTCTTAAGTGGCATTTGGGAGCTGATATTCAGCTCATTCTCTTCATTTTCTCATCTTTGTATTATTTTCATTCCTACATTTTGTTTGACTCTCCTCATGGCTTTGCATAGCTAACCAACTTGTGCAAGGGAGAGATGTTCTAGACTTATTTTCTGAATGAAAGTTTGTTTTGAGTTGAAGTTGTTTTATCACTCTATTTTCAATGTGCTTGATCACCATTTTGAAATACTCTTTCATAATGTTTGGAAAAATGTATTAAGGAGTGAAACCATTCATCTTGGGCTAGAGCCTACTTGAGTTTAGTGTGTGGTGACTTAGGGATAAACATCACCTAGCTTGGTCATAAAAACTGTGTGTATATGCTATTAATGTTTGTCTATAAATATTAGTAGTAGAAAATCTGGGGTTTTTGGAAGAACACCTTGTCTGTTTGACCACTACAATACTCCACTAATGCTACAGCATAGTTAGAGTAGCCCAAAAGAGTCGACTTCCTCTCCCCCTTGCACCCTTATTTTTATACGATTTTACTGAGTGATTGTGGATGCGTGGTAGATTAGTGGACTTTACCCTTGTGTTTGATTTAAGATAATCGCTTTAAATAGTTTTTACCTCAATATATTTAGTTATTAGTGAAAGGAAAGTCCATTGACTTATTGCATTGATTCTTTGAGTAAATATTGAGTGTTTAAGCATTTAGTCCGACGATTGTGTACATTTGCGCATATAAGAATTAGTAGCACAATTAATGGACAACACTTTATAATCTCAAGTGCACTTACGACTTATTTTATAAAATTATAAATTTGGAAGAAATGATTTTAAAATAATATTAGCTTTTAGGAATCCTTTGATCACAATGTTCAAAATTAATCTTAAAAACAAAATAGAAAATGTATCATGCCTTTTGTGATTTAAAGTATTCTTTATATGTCACAAATTAAGTAATGAATCAATAGGAAATTCATAAAATATGTAGATATTAGAAAACACATCTTGAAACATGCAAAGAGAGGAAATTGCACCAAAATTTCAATGTGTTAATTGGTATATGATTAAGTGTTGAAGATCTTAAATAAAGATCTCACCATGTATCACAAAGGTTAGGGATGTTTTGCTTTAATTAAAAGGTTTATACCTGATATGATGTGTTGAGTCGAGCGACTGATGGAAGGTCGGGTTTAATACCATATGGTCTAATCAAGCCAAAGTTACAAAGGTCTACTAATTTCACAACTTTTTAAAATGAAAATAAAATATAGAAAACTACGCGGGCCTTTGGGATAGGATACTTTATTGGGTATATATGAGAGAATGTTAGGACCTAATGGTTAAAGGGCTAGAAATCTTCTCCTAGCTATATTTAAGGAAGAGCAAGATTGAGAAAGATTGATATAAAGCGAAAGGACTTTTCTTTCAATGAGGTAATTTAAGATCGAGCGAGGGGATACTGACGATGTCAGTCAATGAACAAAGACAACTTGATCCCATCATACTATACTCATGCCAACAATTTTGGACTTCTGTGGCCAAATCTATTGGCTGATCGCACGCGAGTCGAATTCGCTCTCTTGATGATGTACAAAAAGCCTCATAAGAGAATGGTATAAAGAGAATGGACTTCATGATGTAAACTACTGGGGATAATTGAGAAACATATACATTATCTCATTCTCGTCATCATCTATATTCATGAAATCAAAACTAGAACCATTGTTTCTTAATTCCAATCTTCCTTTCCCCGGTTCCTTGGTTGGCAGCATCAAGTTCATCTCCTTGTTCTTGTATCAAGCTAAACAAATGTCATAAGAAGTTTGTTTGAGCTGCAAGGAAATGTATAGCCTAAAACTGAGATTAATAGGACCAACATGGTTGTATTTAGATATAAATAGATTAAGAAATCGGTTTCTTAAACTCACTCTGCCACGACATAATTGGCCAAAAGAACAGTATCATTAAATAGATAACCAGTTTAGAAGATGCAGAAACTATACAGTAAAATAAGGCAAGAAAATGTGGAACAGTACAAGGTTAGCGGATAGAGGATACAAACTGGTAACTCCAACGCAAAGAAAAATGTCCTGAACAAGATTGCACTAAGCTGCTGCAGGATCATTTATCACACCCAAGAAGTCATCTTTTATGGTTCCAATACAAAACTGCAAGCCAAAACAACAGTTAAATCAGCAGCAAGTCAAAAGTTAAATTCCAAAATTAGATAGCGGCACAAAGTTCTATCAGGGTCAGAGAATATGCAAAACAGATAAAACTGTTTCAGTGGACACAACTTTTGAACTTTCAGGTAAAGTTAATCAGAATTTCAGAGCCAAGCTAAATTCACCCCAATATATTTATTCAAGAGCCCCACTTGAAGGGGAAAAAAACCCATTCAGAGAAAGGAGCAAATAAATTTAATATCACGGTAGTGATCGAACTACCAATAGAGACATTAACTGACGATACTAAATAAGAAAAAGACATACAATTTCAGTCGCGTCTACTCGAGTCCCAATAATCTTTAATCGAACTTCACTGTCCTTCTGAATCTTAACCTACAAGAGAACATAAGCAATTCAATAAATGTAACACAACTACAGGATTAACAGTCGATGTTAGAGAAGGCATGTGAGACAGAGAAATACTGATCCATCTGAAGTGGTGTAGTTTGGGATATCTCCAGACTGGAACTCCATATCATCTGGTATCAACTGAAACGCAAAATGTAGGATGAATCCATTGAACATTAAGCACATTTATGAAGAAAAAATTTCAATAGAAGTAAAACCCAAGTCGTTGATGTTGCAAATACAGTTAAGAGAGAGTTAATTCAATTACGAAGCATTTGCTATGTTGGCATCAATTATGAAGCCTAATAATGGGAAGTTCCAGAATGGAAAGCTAAGAAATTAGTTTGTGTGAATAAGACGTAGTATTTAGAGTCGGGAATGGGTACGATTTATATTGAAAAGAAAAGCTTGGAGATGATAACTTATGTATAGGGTTGCCAAGAATGAGATGCATGTGTATTACTGATGGGAATGCTATAAGGATAGAATTATGAATATTATTAGGGTATTAAGCGTATATTAGTAATTAATTAGGAAAGTTGTTAGGGGAATTTATTATAAATAGAGTGAGGGGGAATAGATGAAGGTAGGCATTGATTTAGTTGGTTTAGGCTTGAGTGGTACCTCAAGAGAGGAGAGGGAGAGGTTCCAAGTAACTTGAATACTTGGGTAATTTTGTTAGTTCTTCAATCATTTATATTTCAATATATTTTTGGTTGTTTGGGTTTTATCAAATACAATTATGCAAACATATCCCATCGACGAGCAATATTTAATTCAACATGGTACAGTATCAAAGGAACAAACTAGAAACTAATAAGAAAATGTGTTGGCTTACTTGAACACTTCACTATACATCAAACGCTGTAAGAACTAGAGTCAGCGACTCAGTGAGAGCATTGTAATAAATTTTTGAATCTCTTTTTCAAGATTTTTTACAGTTCGCTTTTTCATATAATGCAGTTTACTCTTATCACTAAATACAACATTACACAGCTCTCTGAACATGACAAGTTTAATCGGCATAAAAAAAATATCTCCAATCATCAGTGCCATGCTATCCCAACTCCCACCACACACGCATATTTCTTTTTTTATGAGAAACATTGAACTATCTCATTGATGAGATGACCACAACCATTTATATTTGGTAAGGAACAATTTATCTTACAAAAAAAAATCCAAGCCCCAATCCAGAGGAGATACTTGGTGGTTTGAAAAATATGAGAGACGTAAAAGATAATTGGAATATTTTATAAATATATACTTACATGGTTTGAAACAAAAATCTGAACAGGTCCAGCTTCAGCGAAAAAACCCATCTACAAAAGTTGTGATTGCGGTCATATTCATATTTATTATTTAAAGACTTCATTAATTACTTACTAGATAGCTAAAAAATGTGGCATAAACCCACTTACCTTGTTTACCATTGAAACAACTGCTTCTAAGATTTCTCCCTTGAATGGTCGAAAAACAACACATTGGTATTTAACAGGAAAAGTGACAAAACCTGTGCCGTCACGAATCAATCCCTTCCCAATATTCTCAATTCCTGTAATTGCTACTACAAAACCATGTCGTCCGCTGTGCCAAAGTAAAAGTTTCTTAATAATGAAATCCTACAAACTGTTTACAAGTTGAATGAAATATCAAGCTTACAAAAGAAATATCATCCATCGAGCTGGTTTTATTTGCTTTCTTCTGTTCATGGATCGACATGCATATGCAGCAAAAGGATTGGTCTATTCTCTAATAGGATTTTATGCTACCATGCAGCACAGCACAATAAAAATACGAGGGAGCAAAACTTAAGCAACCATCGATTTTGATCCCTCTATCATATTAAGGAAATAGTAAGAGATGATGTTCGTAGTTTTGAGCCTTTGTACATGGCTTCAGAGGAGAATGTCTTTCCCTGGTTTGAATCCTTGAAGGCAAGAGGTAAATTTGCATTTCTCTGTTCTAACAAGAAGGGTAGATCATTCTGGCCAGTCTAGTAAGGAATGGTCAAATTCGAGTGTTTTTTGCTAAAATTGGTCGTCACTTTGTCCCCTAAATTTTAGGTCTCTGTCTTTGACTGGAAAGGCAAGGGTGGGAATTAAACAGCAGGGTAGTAAAGTCAAAAGATTTAGGGAACATAATTAGAATCTTAACTTGTCAATCTTAAAGAAAAACAAAATTTCCCCTCATACTTGCCCGAACTTCCCATTAGACATAGGAATATCCATCAATTCCAATTGCTCAATCAGCAAACTAAACTTTTCCATACACTGATCATCTTCCCCAAGTTTCATATGACCACCTTATAAACATCGTTTTTCACAACAATACCCAAAAACGCTCTGATTCATTGCAAAAATCATTTCTATCCTTATGGTAATGAGGACCATACATATAATTATATATATATATATATATATATCTTTTTTTTTAATGAGAAACCAAACTTTCATTATGGAATATGAAAGAAAAAATAAGAGCATACAAAAAAACCAGCTCCACAAAAGAAGTCATAAATCTAACTGTGTAGAAAGCACTCAATCCAAAAGAATAAAGCTCAACTGATAATTACGAAATGACTTAAAAATAGATGCCCAAAGGGAAGAGTTGGACCTAACAACATCCCGCACCTCTTCCCAAGGCCTCTCAATCCCTCTAAAAATTCAACCATTTGACACCCACATCCATAATTTGTACTTCCACCATAAAACTTTCTACTCGTCCCATAAAGTTAACATAGAGTTGGAACTTTTTTTAATAGAAACATTGATGAAGTTCCCTCCCTTCTTACTATTTTGGAAGGGATTAGCAGCCACTCATGTACTAGGATAGTAATGTCTGGACCTTACTCCTATCAACCTATGTAACTTTCTCTTCCAAATCTCTCTCTCTCTCTCTTTTTTAATAAAAAACTAAACTTTTCATTGAGACAAATGAAAACAAAAGCACATATTCAAGGACATACAAAAAAAACCAGCCCAAAAGCTAGAGACCTGCCTAAAGAAAGGGCCTTCAATCTAAAGAATAAAACCTACCTGATAATTACAAAACAGCTGCACAAATCTCTTTTTAATCAGTTGATTTCTTCTCATAATACTCACCATCCCTCCTTTTCTAGGCTATGGAAGTTAAATACTCTAAAGAAAATTATAATTTTCACTGGAATTGTGGCTCTTCACATGATTAATACCAATTACCAATGATTCAATACAAAGGTTCTCTATGGCGATTTGTCTCTAATGGTGAGTTTAATGCACTTCTGAAGACCTTAAATTATCATTTGCTATTCCTCTAACATGATTGAGGCGGTCTTGTTGTATCTATCTTTGTGATAGGTGTGGTTCCAATTTGGCCAATCAATTCCACCTCTGTCTTTTCACGTGTTTCTCAGAAGCCCAACCCCTTTCTAACAATCATATTTTCGATGTATTATTCACATCATCAAACCACCCAATAATACTACTAAACGAAAAGGCAGAAGAAAGTGAAAGAAATTATAGTACTTTACGAGTTAAACAAAGAAAATGGGATGCCACCCAAGGACCTCAGAATCTAAGATCGAGTCAGCTCTTCATTTTGTCCATGGAATTTTCTCAGAAAATGTCAACAAAAAGAAAAGAACATCAAAAGCAACGTTGCAGCAAATAAAAAGGGGGCAAAAGTTAAGAAACCTGCAAGTCCCCTCGACATCTTTCATGAGTTTGGAAACCAGATTCTCACGGAGGTTACGACCGAAGTGCCGAGGGTGCAGCTGCATATTCCTTTCCAACACTATGTGGAAGAACATGGTGGCTGTCTCTACCTGTTGAAAGACCCATTTCAGCTGATTGATGAATGCAAAGTTCTATGGCGAAAGAAAAGTTCAATTGAGAGAAAAGTCAGAGTCAGATTCATACCGAAGAAGAAGAGAAAGGGGAAAACGAAAGAGATAATCAAGAGTCTGAAAAGGAGACGTCAATTTGGTGGACAGAGTTCAAACAATTCTCGTTGCAGAGTAGGGTTTTCTCGGTGAGTAAGAAAGGGAATTAAAAAACTTTTGGATTTGCAATAATTTCAAATAACTTGAATATGAGTCCTGCTTAATAAGTAACTTGATATTTGTAAGTTTTTTTTTTTTTCCTTTTTTTATAATAAATATGAAATTTTCAATTTTTATTTATTAGGTTTATTGATTTAATTAAATATTTATTATATATAATTGATATTATATATTATTATTACTATTATTATTAAAAACATTTCAATAAAATAATATATACTTTCTTTTTATTTATCTACCGTGAACAACTAAACAATAAATTTTAATTTCTGTCTTTTGAGCTTAATTTGATTCTACGCGATTAGAAAGTTGAAATTATTCATCTCTTCAAAGAGGGAAAAACAAAATAATAAACTGGGGCTACTGGATGGTAGTAGGTTGTTGGAGGAATATGTCGGGTTCGGTTCATTTTATCTTTTTTGTTAGAGATCCGATTTTTTTTATTTTTATTTTGTTTCAACATGTGTGGATGAGGATTTGAATTTTCGACCTTTTTAGTATATGTGTGGTTTGAAGTTTTGCCTTGTAGAGAAAAATGTCTCATAATTACGTTATAAAACTTTAACTCTCTTTAAGCTTCACACAAACTTGCATCAATTTGTGTGTGAGTGTGACTAGCACAATACCGTTATGTATAATCTCCCTAGTTTTTGCAATTTGGTTGAATTTCTTTAATCAAGATTTATGCATGCGCTAATTTAAAAAGAAAAACACTAAATTTGAAACTTTTAAAAAAAAAATACACAGGCACTAAATTATATATTTAGCATTTGATTGTTCCCCGTAATTATCAGATAATTACACCTAAGAGATTCATTCAAGATTCAAATACTCTCAAATTTGTTACATTTGTTAAAAAAGCCAAAGAGTTACATTTTAACCATAAAATTTTAAAACATTATAAATGTTTTAGTTGAGATATATTCTAGTTGGTGTTTGAATTTGAAATCGAACATAATTATTAAACAAAACATTATTAATCATTTACAAAGAACAAATTATTAAAATTAAGATTATAAATATATTTAAGATCTCGACTTTGTTTGAGTGGAACAAGATTTCATAAACTCGGGCTTCAAAATCTGACGATTTCTCAATTATCTACACAAAGTTCGTTTGATGTTGCCCATAAATTTTTTCCTTTTTCCAAAAAAAAAAACCCTTCACATTGATAAACATGGGCTCCTTGTTTATGATTTATTTTCATGTTAGTCGAGGAATAAAGGCATTGGCAGAAATTGGAAAGCTTGAAAACGATATTAAAGATTAATTGATATCAATTCATGATATACAATACAAATATAAAATATCAATTATACAAAAAATTTCACCTGGAATATTATAGCAAGATATATAATTTAGGTTTTTTTTTTTGAAGTAAGGAATTTCATATAATCTCAAATCGGTAACAATTTAATCTCTATAGTTAAAAAATTGTAACAATTTAATTCTACAAAAATCTCATCAAAACCGAGTGTCAATTTTTTATTACATTTCGATTTCTTCTTTGTAATTTATAAAGACATTTAATTCTCTAAATCAAGACTAAATTGTAACCCAAATTTGGAATTCCAAAGATAAAACCATTACAATCTAAAATTCAAGAACTAACTTGGGCAAAATACATGGACCAAAAGTATTTTTTAACCTGTAACTTGACAGGTAAAGTATTTATTTCTTAATTAAAGTAATTTTAGTTCTCGATTTCCTTAACAAAAATACCCATCCACATCAAATATTTATCAGTATTTAGAATGGAATAGATTCCCTGTCGGCAGACAGACGCAAGAGAAATGAAAGAGAACGAGCCATTCTTGAACTGAACAAACAAAAAGTAGAACAAAACCAACAAATAATAATAATAATAATAATAATAAATCAATAAAAAAAATCGAAAACTGATTTGAGTTCAGAGCATCCTGACCCCAGATGAATAAACTTAAATCAAAGATTCCTCCCACCTCTCTAGAATCACAGAGCGCAGTAAAACAGTTAAAATGAGAGCTTTCACGGTTGTTTTTCAAGTCAGTAATATCTTCATCAGTTACAGCAAGAAGAAATCTACTGCTTCCAATGTAACTTTCAAATGTAATTCTTCTTTTCAGAAAAGTAGGCATTGGAAGATCCCTGCTCAATCATGCTTTCTTTGCAAAAACTGTATCCACTTGTAAATAGTAATCAGAAGAGCATTAGGGATCCAAAATTTTAAGCCATGAAAGAGATTGAGAGATGGATGGGAATGTGTTTCAGTCAGTCTCCTGGATTCCAGAGCATGGAACTTGATGGTTCTATTCTAGTTTTTTTTTTTTTGTTAGAACTGGGAGTCGAAGCTTCGCTCCCTTATACCCACGGGCACCTACACCCGCCTTAAGGCTTGGACCCAGGAGACATCAGGGTTTTTGATATTAAGCTTACAAGAAGATTCTAACTCGAGACCTCTAAGCCACTAAGAGACCCCAAGTCCTTGCCAACTGGGCTGCCCCTTGGGGCCTAATGGTTCTATTCTAGTGAGCTTTCCTACAACACTTTCTTCAAACAACTTATTGTGTTAATGAGAGATTTAACCCACACTTGGGGGAAATCCATGTCTAAGAAAGTAAAGTTCTTCTCATGCTCTAAAAAAACTGAATACATGCAAGAAGAATCTGAGTATTTCAGTCTCTCCTCACTGGTTATGATGATTAAATATCCAATACCAATTCTCATAGATTCCAATCTTCTCAACTCGATATTTTTGCCTACGCTGGCACAGCACAATCCTCATCAAAATGAAGAATTTTTCATGCCATTTTGGAAAGGGCATTGTCGGTAGGCAAGGACAATGTTACTTGGCTCATCGCAATCTAGACTACTTGTTAGACAAATTTTGTCAGAAGAAAACCACAGAATTCTTTTGCAGATGATGGCAAAGTTAGATCAGACTTGTTAGCTAGCATCCAAACGGAGTTTTATGCCCAAGTTCTTTCCGAGTTCCTTTACTATGAGTACATGCCTTGTTTCTTAAAACCACCCCCTACCCCCTCTCCAAATCATACATATATATATATATATATATATATGAGAGAGAATATCAAACAGATACATGAGCATAAGGAAACATAGTACTATACCAGCATCTCTACAACATACCACAGATAAGATTTTCTCAAATAAACAAGCCTAACGGATAGAAGAAAGAATGATGATGGCAAACCTAAACTGAGGACTCACATATATGGTCCAATGCACTATTAAACAGCAAATAACAACACCAAACGTGACTATTCCTGCAGATATACACAGATGTTTTTTCATGGGGAAGATAAAAGGGAAACACAGACAGAGCGAAGCCGAAAAATTCAAAGAGATATGTAAAGAAGAATTCTCTCATTGAACAAGATTACTCCCTCACAGATTAGCACGTTATTTTCATCAAGTGAGTCTTTCTCCATGGAAAATTTTCACTTCAAGAGCATTTAAATTATTATAGTCTTTGAGAGGAGAAGATCATTAGCACAAAGTTTTATTGTTCTCAAGGTACTTCTTAATGAAAAGTTTTAATGCAATACAGCTTGAGAGGAGAAGATCTTTAGCCCAATATTTTATTCTTCTCAATCAAAGTACTTCTTAATGACAAATTTTAATGCAGTAGAGCTGAGAGGAGAAGATCTTTAGCACAAAGTTTTACTTCAATGGAGCTAGAGTTAAAAAATCCCAAAGGGAAGTGATGAACTAAGTCTGAAGCGACAGCTTTCACAAAGCTAATGAATTGCAGGAGTATTGACACTATTAACATCTCCAATTGGTGAAGAATTACAGATTTCCCAATGAAAACTTAAAGGAACGTTAGAGAAAACAAAATATGCAGGCAATCCTCAAAGCTTGGATATCAAAGTGGGAAAAAACATGTAACCTTCAAAATCAATTTATATGGGGGAAACTCATTACATTGCTGCATTATCCCTAAAGAAGATAAAGTGAGAAATATTAACTCATACAACTTCTACTGACTTCAAGGTTCGATTGCGGAGTTTTACTGACCTTCCTGCTTTCAAGCATCGCTATCACTGCTATCATCGTCATCGTTCCCCAGATCTTTAGCAAAATAAACTCCAGGATGAACCGTCCGCCTCCGCGTCCTTGAAGGAAGGATATTGTCCAAATCGACCTCCGTGAGCGGATCATCCGACAAATCGCTCTCTTCAGAGCCCAACTCGCTTCCACCGTCACTGGAATCTTCGTCGTCGTCGTCGTCGTCTTCCTCTATCAATTTCCCTTTTCCTTTGTCATCCTTCACGATGCCCTTCCCCTTACGATCCTCGACTGCTTCACTGGCGTCTTCCTCTTCGTCCACTTCGTCATTCTCATCCTCGTAATCTTCCTCATCGTCTTCCTCGTCATCTGCTTCTCCCGCATCTACACCAGCTCCAACTTCACCGTCTTTCCCTTCGGCAGCCAAAGAATCGTCATCAATGTGTTCATCACTCCGCTTATGGTCTCCATTCTCACTTTTCTTCACATCATGGCAAGATTCGTCCTTAACCACTTCGAGCTTTTGAATTTTGTTCGAATGCTCCTCTTTTGCTTCGCAGCAGGGGTCAGGTTTACGCTTGGCGTCAAATGTGGTCTCCTCTCTACTGGTAGTTTCCGCCATTAACGTGGCGCAGAACCCTACCTTCGGAACTTCAAGACCTAATTGCAATCAATCGACGAAACGAATTAGGGTTTTCGGTAGAACTGTACGAGGAATGAACGAGGATTTGATCACTTCACAATTCCAGCTGCATACTGTTTCGAGGGAAAAAAAATAAGTAATTTATGTAAATAAAGAAAATCATATTTCAACTAGATTTTGGCAAAATATTACTTTTAGGTTTGAAAGAGTGGCTTGTAATCGTTGTTTTTCTTTCTTTTATTGTTTTCAAATTTCTTAGTTTTTCCATCAATTTCATCCTATCAATTATTTCATGGCCTTAGGTAGACTTGTATCGATTTGATGTTTAAGAAATCGAATATTGTTCCAAGTTAGAATTCTTACGATTGAGTTATCGAAAATAAAGGTGCATCTTGTTAGTATAGGTAGTAACTATCAATTTTTTTAAACATTTTCTTAACCATTCTTACACGATCTCAGGATCCCTTTTATTCAGATGTGGTATCGGCGTACTGGGAGACGTTCCGCTCTAATACCATTATGTAACGGCCCAAGCCCAGGAAGATTCCGTTTTGGTCCAAATCCCGAGTCTGGGACGTTACAAGATATCTTCCGTAGATGAGCTTAGGAGCTCCTTTTAAATGAGCTTAAGATATCTTCCGTAGATGAGCTTAAGAAATCTTCCTAGATAAACTTAGGATATTTTTCATAGATAAGCTTAGAAGCTCTTCTGTAGATGAGCTTAAGAGCTTGGCCATAGATGAGCTGACGAAGTCGGTCGTAGATGATCTCGCCATGTGGTAGGTAAGTTTTATTGACAATGAACTGGGGCATGTTTATCTCTTAGAATACCAAAGTCGAATTAAATTGGAATTTCATTTTACCCGTATTGAAATTGGAGTAAAATTCAAATTTTATTATAAATTCAAGCCAACTTTGAATATATCGAGAATTTTATTAGAAGACAAAATTTCGGTAGAATTGGAAATTTACTTCAAATCAAAATTTGAGCATATTCCAAAATTTATCCCAAATCAAAAGTTGAAATTGAAATTAAGGTACAACATACAATCTACTAAAATTCAAATAAAGTTTATTGCCAAATAATAATATAAAAAATTTGACCAAAATTCGTATTTTGATTAATTGGTATAAAAATGTATCAAAAAATAGTTAATCAAAAATTTGCACAAGATTCATATTTTATTGGGACATTAACAGGATCAATATCATAGATTGCACCACGAATCATTTAGTCCAATCAAAATCTGTCCCTGTTTGATGATATAACATAACCGACCTAATTGTAATTGGATTGTGACACATGACAAGGACTTAAAATCACATGGGTCTAAGTCCACCTCAAGCCCATGAAATACCCTATAAATAGAAAATGGTAAAAAATTATGTAATTATATATTTAATAAAATGGTCAGAAGGACTAAAATGTTTGATGCTTAATTAAAAGCAAAAAGAGAGAGATAGAGGACAAAAAATTTTGACACGGAGAGTTAAAGATTATAGTTTGTGGATGAAATAAAATGGAGAATCTATTATTAAGATTATGAAAATTGTTGAGATTTTTTTTAAATCGTGTTGTTGTGCTATTATTTTCATTTTTCATATTTGTGTAAATAGTTTAAAAACTATTTAAATAAATACATTTGTTTAATTATGAAAAGAATAGTCCTCCAACTCTCCATTGTTTCTTTCTGATCATAACCAAAAGGGCGTAAGTTCGATTCTCCAAAAATTTGTTTGAAAATCACCTTTTTCTATATTATTCTTAAATATGGTGCCTATGGAATAACAAATTATAAATAGTTTTTATTGCTTAAAAAATTTAATTATATATACTGGATAATCTTAATTTTTGCATGTTCTTCCTTTGGCAGCTATATTCTATCGAATAGATATTTGGTAAAACTTAAGGGAGAATCTAATTTGCAAAATCATAATCTTTGTGAGAAATTTATTGTTTATGTTTTTATTGGGAAAAAAGTCATAACACTCAATTTTCTTCCTTTTCATTTTGTGGTGGCTAAAATAATAGTGGCGACTCCAAACTTCAAGACCCCATTTCAATGGACAAAACATTTAGGTGCATAATGTTTTCGTGAGAAATAATTTCAGCAGAAAAGAAAAATATATATACATATTTCATCCATGTATTTATTATATATTATAAAAGATAAGGGTCGGACGAATATTTGATACTTAATAGAGAGGTGGAGACGGTGAGGAAGACAAAAATACTTGACCTTGACAATGAATAATAAAATGATAGGCGAAGTCTGTGAACCACAATGATATGGCATTGTTCGTTTTGGACATAGCTCTTACGGCAGTCTCAGATGATAATGGTCCTCTCTTATATATCATAGATCATTCTCTTCCCTAATCAATGTGGTGACAAGAGCGTTTGTAGAAGAAGCTAGCGAAGAACCCGAGGTCAGAGTTTGGCAATAAAATGAAATGGAGAAGGGTAGAGTGCTAGGGTTCAGAGTAGAGTCAGAGTAGGGGGCAGAAATAGAATCTAAATTTCTGCATGGTTTCCATCTGGCATCCATGCTGCCTGTCAAATAAATAATCTGATAAAATTGAGAGACAATCTAATTCAAAGATCTGATAATATTTAGGGACAATCTAATTCACAAAGATTTCTTTAAATCTGTTATCCTATTATTCATCTATCATATTTGTGTAATTAATTTAAAAATTATTCTATTTTATTTGATCTTTTAAATAAATACATTATTTATGAAAAACCTGTTGAGAGCATGATTCAAACTCATAACTTCTCGATAAAAAATATGTACTAATTACCGTGGTTGGTTGGAAAAAAAAAGATGAACTCTTTCTTTCTTTCCATGTTTGTAAAATTGTGACTAGTCATGGGTATTTTTTAAGGACTATTTTCATACTCCTGGTTGGATTTAAGCATTATGTTGCTAAATCTATATATATTTCATTCTTTTATAGTTGAATTGAAAACTGTATATAATATAATAATTAATAGCAACCAAAGTGATGAAAAGTTAAATTTGTCTAAATGTTCTTCATTAAATCCTTTGCCAATATTAAGCAAAAACTTTCTCCTCTTTATTAAGCACCATCTTATAAAAACTATGAATCTTTTTCAATTAATAAATTTATTAATAAGGTCTCAAAGTTTAAATCTTTCCTCCTATTTAGATTCTATGAAAATCGTGATTTTTGTGAGAATTGTGTCATTATCCTACAAATTCGTGCATCGTATTTTTTAAATTACCTCTATTTTTTATTTATTCTTTAAAGGAAATTACATTATTTATGAAAAATGAAATAAATAATTTATTGGGCATAAATATGTACCTATGGAACACATAATTATATAAAATTTTATATTATCTAAAGAAAAACTAATTATATATTAATTAGTTGATATTTTGGACTAAACTTTTTAACTGAAATTTGTTTGAATGCTCCACCTTCCAAACCTTCAACCGCTCAAATCTTTTTATCCCAAAAAAAAAAAACAACAACAAAAAAATTTTAAAATATTAGAATTTAAATAATAAAAAAAAGATACCAAATATCATATTGTTGACAATCTTTGACCAAGAGGTCGTGGGTTCGAACCCCCACCCACACATGTTGTATAAAAAAGAATTTTGAACATGATGATTGTGAAATGAAAAGGAAGGAAAGTAAGATACATATTAGTTAGAGATGAACTAAGAAAGAAAAATCTTTATTTCTGTATGGTCTCCACCTAGTAACTATACTAGTCGTGAATGGTGGTAGATCCTACAATTCGAATTATATTTTTTTATAATGAGTTTTAAAACTAACTTCTTTTTTGAAAAATTATTTATTAAAAAAGAAGACCTAACCCTCAATTTCTTTCTTTCTTTTATTGTTGTGGCCAGAAAACGACGGTGGCACAACATCCTACCTTTGAAAACTTTGGACTCGTTTGGTAACGTTCGTTTCTTGCTTGCTTTTGTTTCTTCATTTTTAATTAAGAAAAAATGAATTGCATGATCCCAACATCCATAAATTTAAGTGTGATAAAACAATCTTCTTATTTATGTTTTGGAACAAATTGAAAATGGGAACACGAAAGAAGAAACCGGTTGTTTCCAAAATTTGTATACAATTTTGAGAATGTTCCAAAAAAATGAGAAACAAGAAACATATGGCCGGTTTGGTAACGTCTCCGTTTCTTGTTTATTGTTTCCAATTTTCTTAAGAAAGGTAAGCATTTTACAACTAACTTTATTTCTTATTTCTCCCTTTTTGTGAACATTCTCATTTGTTTCAAAACATAAATAAAAATATCGTTTTRTCATACTTAAATTCTTAGAGGTTGGAACCACGCAATACATTTTTCTTCATTAAATATAAAGAAACAGGAACATTATCAAACGAGTCTATAATTACTTGTAAAATACTTAGATTTCTTAGGAAATTTGGAAACGAAAACGTTACCAACCAAGTCCTTCTCGACCTAGTTCCAATCCGCCGTGTATTTACCATAGATATTAGGGAAATGTTTGATAGTGAACAGAAGAGAGAAATAAGGAGAAGGGTGGAGGCGGTGAGGAGGACAAAAATATTTGGATACTCAACAACATTAGAAAGAGATAGGTCTTCCAAGATGAAATGATATGAAGCTTAGGGATCAAAAGATGGAGGGAAAGTCGTGTAACAGGGACCACGAAAAAAAAACTCAAATTCTTTTTTTCTTTTTGCATGGTCTCCACCTGGTAGTCATGCTAATGCAATGTACAAAATTTACATGTATTATAAACTCCGGTAAGATATCTTATTTTATCAATGTGGGATCCTTATCCTTAACATGTCTTCTCAAGATGGTGGCTCTTTTGGTTCATCGATATTGGTCGGATCCCAATTTTGGACCGGATGCTCGTTTGGAACCATGAATATTAACATGGTATGACTTATGAGGTCCTATGCTCGAACCCCTGCATTGTTGTTTTTTCTCCATTTATATTGATTTTCATTTGTTGGGTTTTGTCAATTATCCAAACCTACAAGTGAAGGCAACGTTGAGAATCCATATAAATAAATTGGGTTGAGTGGTGGTTTATTCATCTCTAATCGTGATTTGAAAGATAATCTAACTAATTATCATATTGGTAATCTAATTAATTAGTAGATCATGACATTAAAGATAATCTAATTAATCAACAGGCGAGACAATTTAATTAATCTGCAAGTGAAATCTATTGTACAATATTTTTGTATTTAATCATGAAATCGCACTCTATTTATATGGAAATCATGGTATTCGTTGGTGATATGGAGGAATCTCGTACAGTTATCATAATACTTTTTTTTTTCTTTTTTGGTTTTAACATTATTTATGAAAAACAATTCCAAATCCTCATTTTCTTTTTTGGGGAAACTTGTGGTTAAGCTATGGGCGTTCTKGTAGCGAATAGACATTAATTTTACAACTATACATAATAACTATGTTAAAATATCGGTTAAAATATCGGCTTTCTCCGGACTTTCAGGTTTGATTTATTTTGGTTCTATATATTTTCAAAATATTTACTATACTTTTAACTTTGGTTTATTTTGATCCATGTACTTTTAGAATGTTTGTTTTGATTCCTGTAYTTTTAAAAAGTGACGATTTTTTATTCTTACTGTCAAAATTTTAACACAAATTCTCAACATAATGAAAACCATTTAATATAAAATCATGGTACATTTTAAATAAATATATTGAGTATAGTGTCGTGTTGAAATTGTGATAAAAAAATGAGATTAAAAACAAAAGTAAGGCAAAAAATGGTCCCTTTTTAAAAATACAATGACTAAAATAATGGATATTTCAAAGTAGAATAACCAAAATGAACCAATGTTGAAAATATAGTGACTAAAATAAAATTTAAAGAAAAAAAACTGAAAGAGTACCAAACTAAAATTAAATTTATTGTAATCCATTAACTTAAATTTTTAGATGGATTAGATGATTTCTCTGATCAAGCCCATAAGTAAGCCCAACAAGTTAGCATTAAGGGTATTATAGCAGATTAAATTTACCATAATTTAGATTATCGGTTCAATTCATCCATCATAATTTTTTAAATACTATTTAAAATAATCATTCACAACACAGTGGCATGATAAAAAAAAACAATCAAAAGTCTATGATAACATTTTTTTTTAAATCTATCATATGTTTAAAGATTGAGATTAAAGCAATGATTACGTGCAAAAATATGGTGCCCTATGATACATCTAGATTTTCCATTGACTTTTTTTTTTTAATAGAGAATTGAAAACTATATGATATAAAAAATAGTAAACAAAGTGATGAAAAGTTAATGTACTATTATTTAAGATAAGCTAAACAACCTTAAAGTTTGACACTTTTATTATACAAACGTGCATGGTCACACACATTTAGTACCAAAATAAAACAAGGATTGTACCAAAATAGACAGTACAAATATCAAGTCAAAACCCTTCGTCCCCAAAGGATTTTCAAGTTAATATTTGACCTTGTTGTGAAACCATGCAGGAGTTTTCTTTACTATGTAGTTAATTAACCATGCACCCTCTCTCGATCGATCCGTCTCTTAGTAGAAGTCGTCGAGAGATAGGTTTTCGACCGACCCGAATCCTTCAAGAGGTCCCATTCTCGAGTAGTTGGTGGTCATTGATCCATCCAGAAAGTCGAAGGGTGAGTCGTCCGCGAAGGCAGAACTGGTGTCGTAGATGAACGACATGCCGGGATCATCGTCCACGGTTGGATAAGGCATGTATATGGGGTTGGCTTTGGTAACATCATCGTAGTCGCTAAAGATGATGTCGTTGATCTCGACGTCGACGACGTTCTTTGCTATGTCGGAATATATCTCTTGCTCGGAGGCTTTTTTGGCTTGAATGGCCTAAGAGAAGAGGAAAATTGATCCATTATTAATTGGATTAAGGGCAAACAAGCAAAGGAATAACTCCTGCAAATATTCTCTTAGAAAAAAGAGAGAAACAAAAACATACATATTTGTGATTTTGGTGATCTTGGTAAACCATGATGAAATCTCCAAGTTGTAAGCCATGGGCATTGACAAAGTCCCCTGTCAAAATTCAATACCAAAATAAATACTGAAACAGATTTGATGATGATTTTATCTCCAGTCAAATAACTTACCACAATCATACTTTTTGTAAAATAAAACAAAAATAGTTATCAAACGGATAAATATAGAGTATTAGATATTAAAGAGAGCTTGGATTAACAATAAAGATATATACCATTAAAGAGAGCTTACCAGTATTTTCAAGTACATACATTCGACTATTGTTATTTGGCCAAAACCTGCAATGTTAAAAAATTACGTCTACTGACTAAATTTCAAATAAAATCGTTATCAAACGGGATCTTAATGACACGAACCTGTATTTGAAGCTCCAAACATGTGCCCCATCCAAGTCATCCATTGTCATAATAATCCCTTCTTTGGACTCCAAAGCTGGCAGATGAGCTTCAGCTGCTTTCTGATCAAAATTAATTAATTAAAACTAAAACATTAATTATATTATCTAAATTAAATTAATTAGCATATGAATATAAATTATTTTGTTGAACAAATTAAAACCTTTGGGAGTATCATTCTCCTAAGAGAGCTAACATCACTGTTCCTCAGCTCCTTTTGGAAAAGAAACTTCAGCCTCCTCGGATCAATTACCTGTACACAAATTTTGTCAGATTAATTACAAAATTAGTGTTCATAATTTTGTTT